GCACCTGCCCGGGGGTAGGCCCGGGGCGACAGGTCGGGCTAGAGAGGGTGGGGGCCGGAGCGGGGCGCGCGGGGCTTCTGCCCAGGCCCTGCCCATCTGACCTCCTTCGCCCGTGTTTCCCAGGTAGTGGGACAGTGCCCGGGAACCGCCGCCGCCGACAAGTTGGACTGGTTTGGGAGGCGGCTGGTCGGGGGTGGGGCAGTGTAGCTACTTGGACAGGGCTCAGCGAGGCTGCCTTTCCTATCAGACCCTTCCCTCCTGAGGTCCCCCGGGGGTCAGCCCTGAGTGGGGCAGCCTTCCTTTCCCAACTACTCCATCCCATCTACCTGGGGAGCCCTGGCTCTGGGCCAGCAGCCCCCAAGGTTCTGTTCTCAACTTGCTATTGCAGCCAAGGTCCCAGACTGGGGTGGGGGGCCAGATGGGAGGGTGGAGGTGCTGGCAGGTAGCTTCCAAACGTGTTTTGTTTGCCCCGAGCATGCAATACTTTAAAAATTATTTTTATTGAATATTGCTAACATTTAAGAATCTAGAATTTTCCTGCACGTCTGGATTTCCAGCTTCCTAGAATATTCTACACTTACCACCTTGGACCCATTGCCCGCAGCAGACTGGGTGTGCCCCTCTTTAGTTTATCCCTGGACCGGCCATTCACATTTGGACCCCTGGGGCATTTTAAGTCAATAAAACTATATTGAATATCTATTATGTATTGAGAGCAATATCTTAAAACTTACGTACTCTGAACAAAACAGATACCCCCTGCCCTCATGGAGCTGGTATTTTAGAGGAATGGGAACAACCGTAAACATAATAGACAAGTAACTTCAGCTTCATATGATGTGGGTCTTATTTACCTGCTCTGGGACCTAGGTTGGCCACTTCTCTGAGTCTCAGTTTCTCCATCTGTAAAATGAGGTGACAGTGACCCGTCTCACTGATTACAGGAGAGGACAGTGTCAAACGTCAGCACACAGTAGAGATCCCTGCCTCCCCACCCCAATCTAGACTTTTCCCTCCTGGAATTCTGGATGCCTAGGTGGGTCTGTCCAATACATTCTGCTAAGGATGGGCATGTTCCAGTCTGTGCTGTCTATTGTACTGTGCTGTCGTCACATATGGCTCTTGAGCACTTGAAGTGTGACTAGTGTGATTCAGGAACTGACTTGTAAATTTTTATTTAATTTAAATTTAAAGCTAAGGTTGTAGCTATAGTGGCTATTGAATTAGACAGCACCGCTCTGGTTGGCCTGAACTATACGTCTTCTTGGTTATCACCTTGACAAAGTCCGCCTCCCCCAATGAACAGGTGAGAAAGTTCAGGACTTGGTCTACAGGTTTTCTTGCCCATCTGCAGGGAGGCTGTGGGGGCACTTTGTGGCCCCAGCCCTTACCTGGAAAAAGGGACAGGGATGACCTGGTGCCTGGGATACAGGGCTCTGATGCCTAAGTGTCATGTGGGTACTTGTGCACCCAGGCGTGGGCACTCCTGCCTATGGGTGCCCATGCTATGGCTGCTGACAGATCAAGAGTCTGCTGGGTAGCCCGGCTGGGCACAGCTCAGCGGTTGAGTGTCGACCTTGGATCCAGGAGATCACGGTTTGATTCCCAGTCAGGGCACATGCACCGGTTGAGGGCTCGATCCCCAGTAGGGAACGTGTNATTCCCAGTCAGGGCACATGCACCGGTTGAGGGCTCGATCCCCAGTAGGGGACATGTAGGAGGCAGCANTAGGGAACGTGTAGGAGGCAGCAGGTCAATGACTGTCTCATCATTGATGTTTCTATCTCTCTCTCTCCCTCTCCTTTCCTCTCTCTGAAATCAATAAAGTCATGGTATTTTTTTTTTTTAAAGCCTGCTGGATGCCCCCCAAGCAGGGCTGTGTGATCTTAGGCATTTCCAGCCACTCTTGGAGCAGCACAGTTTGGGACTGACGTTTCCCTGTGAGAGGTGTTCATGGAGCCCCACAGTGGAAGCTGATGGTGCCTGTGCGCCACTGCGGCGGGGGTGGCGATTTTCTACCCCTCCCCCACAAGCTCTGCGCTGTGCCTGGGGCCTGGCTTGTCTGGGCGGGTGCATGGCACAGAGCAGCTTCCTGTTTGGGTAGGTGAGGTGTGGAAGTGGCACCAGGCTCCCTGTGGGCAGACCAGATTGGGTTGGAGCCCTTTCTCTTGTTTGCCTAACCCCAAGACTCCTGTGGCAGCACCGCCTGGCTCGGAGGCAAGGAGTAGAGCCACCAACTTGCTGGATTAGCTTAATCAAGTTCGTTGGCTCCCTGAGCTTCAGTTTCTCCATCTGCAAAATGGAGCTGTTAAGGGCACCTGCTGAGGTTGAGCCGGCCGGTGCCCAGCACGCAGCTCGGAGCCCGCTTTGCCTCCTTTGAAGTGTGCCTTGCCCTCTCTGTTCCGCTCGGGCTGCGCGCGGCTTTCTCCCGGCCTCAGCTGGGCCTTCCTCGCGGGAGGGCAGGGGTGTGGGCGGAGCCTCAACCTCAGCGGGTGCTTCCTGCCTCCTGATTGGCTTTCTGTGAATCAGAGGCGTGGCCTCGGCGTTTAAAGGGGAAGGCGTCTTCAGCCCCTTCAGTCTTTGCTGAGCCTTTGTCTGAGGTGCTCAGCCTCTTTCTTTCCTCCCCTGCAGCCGTTGCCGGCATCCAGCTGCCAACTTTCTGCCTGGATCGCTGTCGCCTCATCTCTCCAGGCTCCTCACACAGAAGCCTTGGGGTATGTAACAGCCATGCCCGTGGACATGCTGCCTCCTGGAGCCCGGGACACCCCTGCCCTACCTTTCCGCCTGCGGACCAAGGTCCCGGGCTACCTGCTGCGGCGCCCGGCCGACGGCGGAGCGCGGAAACCCAGCGCGGTGGAGCGGCTGGAGGCCGACAAGGCCAAGTATGTCAAGAGCCTGCAGGTGGCCAGCACCCGCCAGGAGCCTGTGCAGCCCCTGCTGTCCAAGCAGCCGCTCTTCAGCCCCGGGACTCGCCGCACGGTGCTCACTTCCAGCCGCCGGGTCCTGCCTGGCCCCTGCCGCCGGCCCCAGCTGGACCTGGATATCCTTAGCAGCCTTATCGACTTGTGCGATAGCCCCGTGTCCCCTGCCGAGGCCGGCCGTGCCCCCGGACGGGCAGAGGTGGCCCC